CCACCACTTGCCCCCTCGCCACCAGCACGGTTCCCCCCATGGGCACGGCTTGTCCCATCCCTCCTGGAGTACGTGCCAACGTAGCTGCTGTTTCCCATGGCAGGGCGTGCAGGTGGACGCCCAGGGCCACGTGGTGGTGGACGAGTACCAGAACACCACCAGGAGAGGGGTCTACGCCATCGGGGACGTCTGTGGGAGAGCCCTCCTCACCCCGGGTACTGCGGCCGTGCCCCCCTCCCCTCTACAGCCCCTCAGTGCCACGCCGTGGCTCAGGCTCCCTTGTCCCTCCCTGCAGTGGCCATCGCGGCTGGCAGGAAGCTGGCCCACAGGCTCTTCGAGGGCAAGCAGGATTCCCGGCTGGACTACAGTAACATCCCCACCGTCGTCTTCAGCCACCCGCCCATCGGCACCGTGGGACTCACCGAAGGTGGGGACAGACGGGGCACGGGGCTGGGGACGCCGTGGCTCAGAGCTGCTGCTCTGCTGCTCGAGGAGGGGGTTTGATCCCCGGCAAGTGCGTCTGAGCCTTGAAAAACGGGCTTGAGTCCCTCTCTGGGAACGCACACGCTGTGTCTTCTGCTGCAGAGGAAGCCGTGGCTGCACACGGGAAGGAGAACGTGAAGATCTACAGCACGTCCTTCACCCCCTTGTACTACGCTGTCACCCAGAGGAAGGTGAAGTGCCTCATGAAGCTGGTGTGTGTTGGCAAGGAGGAGAAGGTGAGTGGAGGGGAGCAGGGAGGGACAACGGGGGGGTGGTGGGCACCGCAGCTGGCTGTCCTCTTGTCCCCGTGCGGTCAGCTCTGACCTGCTCACCCCAGGGCCTGGGGTCAGAGTTCAGGCCTTCATTTTGGCGGCGCTGGGTCCCACCCGGCCTCTCTCCCTTCTTCCCCGAAGGTGGTGGGACTGCACATGCAAGGGATGGGATGCGACGAAATCCTGCAGGGCTTTGCCGTGGCCATCAAAATGGGGGCCACCAAGGCCGACCTGGACAACACCGTCGCCATCCACCCCACTTCTGCCGAAGAGCTGGTGACTCTGCGCTGAGCTGGCGGGCACAGGCACCCCCAGGGGTGGCAGCTGCAGCTGGGAAAAAATGTTTACTATGTTTTTAAAAGTGCCTTAGTGCCGGATGGGTGCCCCGGAGAGCGTCCCTGCAAAGTTGGCGTGATGTGCTCTGGGGTCAGAAATAAATACGGTGATGCTGGCGAGTCTCTGCCTTTTGCCCTGCTGGTGCCTTGTCTCCAGGGGTGGCACGTGGGCCAAAATCTCCCTGGAACCTGGGGGTAAACAGCCAATGGAAGGGAATGCTGGTGCTCAGCCTGAGTGTGAAGCTCCAGACTTTGCTGAGGTGTCTCCGTCCTGGCCAGCAAAACTGTAGCAGGCAGGAAAATCCTGCCCAGCCCTCCTAACCCCCTCAGCATGCCTTTAAAGAGAATATTGGACTGGGAGGGGCTCAAGTACAGGCAAAAGCCCAAATGTAACTGGCATCCTCAGTTATCCATGTCAGTCTTTGGAACAATAACCATTTGCAAAGCTTATTGCTGGCTGAAGCACAGGAAATGCCCTCTGGGCTTGCTACAGCCCATCCTCAGGCACGTGAGGGGAGTCACCTGGAGTTAATTACTGATTAAATTACACCCTTTGAACGATGGGGACTTTACCCCCTCAGTCAAAAGGCTGTAAGTATTTTTTTTTTCCCTTTTAACTGACAAGTTTGGTCGCTTGATTTTAAGGCTTGATTTGGGAGTATTTGAGAGGTTTGTCCCTTGCCTCACAGCCAGAGTGATGATCAAAGTGCCTAAAAAACCAAAAGGCAGGGGCACACAGGCACAGGCAGGGGCTGAGTGTCCGCAAAAGCCACTTTTTTGGAGGAAATTGGGCAAAAAAAGCTGAGGGGAAGCTGAGCCCCGGGTGTCACAGTAAGACCACATCCCCTTGGATCCGCAGCAGGGAAAACTGAAGGGAACCGGGGTGGGACTGGGGTGGGACAGAGGAAAGGAGGAGCCCAAATCCTGCAGTTTTGGGGCTCAGGACAGAGCCCCAGACAGGTGAGAGGCTGCAGACTCCAAAAATGAAGGATGTAGTCTTCAAGTTCTGAGCCTGATTTTGAGCCCCCAAAACACAGCACTGGGTCTCTGTTTGTGAGCCCAAACCCACAGGACTTGATCCCTGTTCCGAGCCCTTAAACCCAGCTCTGGGTCTCTCTGGGAGCCCCAAAACTGCCTGGGGGGCCGTGGCTGAGCCCAATCTGGCAGCTGTACACCATCAGACACTCACTCACTGCCCACCCCCAGGGGATGGGGAGGGGAATCAGAGATAAAACACCGCCCATCGGGTAAGTTTAATAATGAAACAGAACAGTTTAATAATAGAAACAAAAATGATATAATGCTGTAATATCAGTGATAACCAGCACCACTCCCCACAGCACTCGCTACTCCCACACCTGCCACTGCCATGCCCCAATGCCTAAAATAGAAGGAAAGAACTTTCTAGACAATATCAGTGTAGATAAAATAGGGAGCAGGTCTTTAATTAAAGTACTTTAGGTACACTAAATACATAAGTGCATACATACATATAGCATAGGGCTCCTACAATTTTATAACACTAATTATCATACCTAATGGATACATCCAACTCGAAATTTGTCCACCCCTTGGCCCACCTCCCTGGAATTGAGTCTGAGGTCTCAAGACCCCTTCCTTTTTGACCATCATCATCTTCAGTATCACATGCCTCTTTGGAGCTTCTCCAGGATTCCTGGGCCTTCTGGATTGCTTGACTACAACAACATCTTATTATGTCCTTCTAGGTACATGTCCCAAACAAGATGTACTTGCTAAAATCTTTTTTCCTTGAAAAGAACATTAAACCAAACTTGAAAAATTTCAAGAACTTGACACAAAGCGTGAGAAAGGGAGTTTGGTAACTGCTAACCTCTATTTTAAAGTGTTGGAAACTATACAGCTGTATTAAAACCATATCTATAATATATATAGATAGAAAATCTATATATAATCTATAAATCCCTTTACAGCCGTGGCCCCTCCCAACCCCACCCCTCACTGCTGTCACTCATCAGTCCCCACCCATCACCCCACCCATTCCTTTTATAGCCACAGCCCTGCCCAGACCACACCCCTCGGCTGTCACTCACCAGTCCGCACCCCTCATTCCTTTTATAGCCATGACCACACCCAGACCACACCCCTCTGCTGTCATTCACCAGTCCCCACCCCTCATTCCTTTTATAGCCATGACCCCACCCAGACCACACCCCTCAGCTGTCACTCGCCAGTCCCCACCTCTCTGCTGTCACTCACCAGTCCCCACCCCTCACCCCTTTTATAGCCATGGCCACACCCAGACCCCACCCCACCTCTTCCTTTTATAGCCACAGCCCTGCCCAGATCCCACCCCTTGCCTCACCCACTCCTTTTATACTATAAACCCAAGACTTAAATAAGAGCACCAGAAAAATCCTCCTCTGAGTGCGGAGGATTTCCATATTCTTGTTATTTTCTCTGCGTTTCATCCCAGATATTCTGGGACTAAGGAAGGCACTTGGCTGTCTCTGCTGCCTCTGGCACAGCATAGCTCCTGGGAAAAACCTAAGTAAAGGAGGGACAGAAGAGCAGGGAAGAGGGTAAATCATGGTCCTGGCTGAGCAGTGCCCACAGCAGCAGCATTTCCACTCTTTCCATTGATCACCTTTGGAGTACAGGGAACACCAGGCTTTGGCCTGGTTTGGCATTACCTGTCCGTGTGTGCAGGGAGATGGGAACTGCAGAACGCCTGGAGTTAGTGTCCTGGGAGGCCTGGTGTCACCCAGATGGTCTTTACAAGCATAAAACATAAATTACATCATGCACAAATGCATTTACAGCACAACTGGACACATCCCGCCAAGGTGACCAGTCATTAGAAGCCAAACTGTTGACAATCCGAATTAAAATCAGATACATGCAGATTTTGTTTTCCAGAAACTCCGTGTCTTTTGGGCACTTCTTGCTTAAATGCTTACCTGTTGGAAGAAGTCAACTAGCCTTTTCGAAGACCAGATTGCCTTCTCTCTGCTCCCAGCAGATGGAGCCGCTGGCCTGTAAAAGAGATGGAAGTGTTCTGCGAGAGGGATCAGCCCTACTGCTCACTGTGTGTGTGCAGGGAGAGCTGAGGTGAGATTCTTAGGCAGATTCCCCTCGTCTGGATGCAGGTCCCTCAGGATCCTCTCTTACTCAGAGGTTTCTCTGACTGTGGTTCTTTCCTGCACCCAGCTCTGGGCCCCCAGCATTCTGGGATTCTGGAATTCCATCTGCAATTACATGTGGCAAAACTGCACTTAATACAATGTCTGTGCATGGCTGGACTTTTTTATCCCCCGTTTATTCCACAGGATAATTCCACACAGAGCTGTTATAATTCCACAAATTAATTTCAGCAAATTTTGCTTGCTGAAAAAGATACCCACTGGTTTAAATTCATACTGGGATAATTTTTTCCTCTCAAATTTAAATGACTTGTTAAAGGAATAACTTTTAAACTATTCCTGGAATAAAAAGGGGAGTATAAAAAAAAACCAAACCAACAAAGAATCATTCCTACATCCATCAAATCATTGATTGGAAGCCTATTCTCTCACAATCTGTCCTTACGATACTGGGTTTTTTTTCCTGGAAAACCTTATGCAGAAGCAGGTAAGGCAAAACTTGTCATTTCAGCTGCAAGAGCCACCTGCTTTCTTCTGGGCCACACAGACTGTTCTTTTCCCAGGTTCCTGATTTCCAAGCTGTGCTTGCCTGCTCTCCAGGGAAGCTGGATCTAAACGCTGGAGCTCAGCAGGCAGGAGCAGAGCCCGAGAGGTGCTGCTGTGCTGGGAGCACTCAGAGCACCGGGAGGGCTCTGGGCTGTAATGGATGGGGGGGGTGGCAGGGGTGGCACCTGTGGAGGCAACTGTGAATCCCTGACCCTGGGAACGAGCTTCCCGAGGCGAAGGGATGCCTCACACAGAGCAGAGGGGGAGGCTCTGCAATGGAACATATCCAAGACACCCTGTTCCAACCAGGCTCCCCCAGGCCAGCAGTGACAGCCTCCAGCCCCGGGGCTTGGCAGCCTGGCTTTGGGCTGGGCTCTGCGCTCCCTCCTTCCTCCTTGCCTCAGGCAGGAGCTGCAGGAGCTCTGGGATCCCTCTCCTGCCTGCGCAGAACCAGTAGCTGCTGCTGAGCTCCGGCACCTGTAAGTGGGGTACCCTGGGGGAGCGGGCTGGGGGCTGCTTTGGGCTGGGCGTGGGCTGTTCCTGCCTCTCTGCTGGAGCTGGGAGCTGAGGGAAAACTGCAGGTGCTTTCTTAGCAACAGGTCTGTGCGTGTATGTGGGAGGGGGGCTGCTGATTCTGCTGCTTGGGGGTGCCCTGGTTTCCTGGGGGGCACAACACTGACTGTGTGGGAATCCTGGTGATGCCAGGGATCTGCCTCCTGGCAACAACCCGCCCATGGAGACCAAGGATGGAATATTCCTGCTCTGGAAGGGGATGGGTGTGGCAGCAGATGCCTCTGACCCCAGTGGCTTTGGGGTGCCAGAGCTGGGGGACACACACAGCCCCCACCAGCAGGGACAGGGCAGTCGTGTGGCCAGGCAGGACCACGGAGGGCGTGTGGTGGGGGAAGCACCTGGAAGCACCGTTCTGCTGCTGGCAGGGTCAATCCACCTGGGCTGGGAGCTGGACCCCTGTGCGGAGCTCCATGATTTGGGAAAAGAGCTTGTGGCCACTCAGTGTTTCCTCAGTGACTAAGAAAAGTTTACATCATCTTATTTTGCTTTTCTATCGGTAGCAGACACCTCCAGTAGGAGAAAAATATCTGGAGCTTTTGAAGTACCTCAGGTTATCCCTTAAACCTGAACCACCCCGGGGGGCTGCAAAGTATGAAGTGCAGTGGGATCAGTTTGGGGTGTTTTGCTGGAGATAGGGGGATGGAATGTAGCTCTGAGCAAAGAAGAAGCATTTCCCGAGGCTGGCAGATGTGCCACCTCAGCCCAAAGGAATGAACCTGTGCTGCTGCTTTTTTCCAAAGGAAAGTCCTAGGAAAAATCCAAGGAAAACTTACTTCCACGGTCCTTCCTGCTTGGACAACACTTGAGTTGCAGCTGCCCCTTCCTGAATAGAATTGGCTTCAATTGGAGTCGAACCAAGAGGTTTCCGAGGTAACCTTTCTGCATGTCAAATTCCTGACATCAATTAGATGTCCCTATTCATGTTATCGGGATGACACTTAAAATTCGGTGTTAATTACCCAGTGTAATGATAATCAAGTGACTGAGGCAGCAGTAAATGTGAATTCAAGAGGACTAAAAGGATTCAAATCCTTAGTGCAGCTCACAGAAAGAATCAGGGGTTAATCTCTAAGTGAGCACTTAAAGTCCCTGAGTGGAACAGTCAGCAGGCAGGAAGGTACAGGGAGAGCTCGCCGCACATCCCTGCTCTACAGCCCTTCCACAACCCATTGTCCCTTTCTAGAGGTGACACTGTGCAGTTAAACCCCTGCTAGAACCTCCACAGGCAGTTCTTTCTCCTGTGTAGCCTGGACAGTTATTTAACATTAAAGGACAAATCTGGGTTGTGGCCAAGTGTTAAGGATCCAACCCCGCCGTGCTGCACAGGGAGCTCACCTGTTCTGCCCTGGGCAAGGCAGGCTGCTCTGCCTAATCCCAGCGAGGCACGATCCCGTATTCCTGGGAATCTGGGCGAGGAGTCAAAATGCAGTTTAATTGTAACAAGGTCTAAGGAACGATCCCTGACGTGCTCAGATCATGGGCTGTGTTTGCTCTCATGCCTGTCTCACAGTGGGCAATGACACTTCTGGGCTTAAAGAGGTTGAAATCAAACGATTTTATGGCTCTTGCTTACTTTTCACACTAAGCACAGACATCGCCTGGTGCAAAGAACCCTTGGGATATGCTGTGATGGGATTGGTTTGGGGTTTTTTCTGGTCATTCTCTCTGCAGTGATATCAGGGTCCTCTGTGCCCCCTCATTTTGGGGGGGACCTAAACTACAGGCTGACAGTGCTCTCTCCCTGTACCTGGCGAATTAGCTCACACTGCCTGACAGGCTGCTAAAGCATTTATTTTGTTTGCCAATTTTATGCTCCACTGGGACTATCTCATGACTGCCCCACTTTTCAGTTTCCACCTAAGCCATAATTCCAGTCGCTTCTTCCTTCTACCTACTCCCCAATTACCTGTTCCCTATCAGTGCCCCAAATGACAGGGCTGTCACATCCCCCTGAGCGCTCTGACAGGGAGTGACTCAGATGAGAGGGGCAATTTAGGAGGCTTTATCTCCCATTTAGTGCTGCAAAGAGCCTGGCGAGGATCATCGATTTCACTAATCCCCAACACTCACTGCTAAGTGCTGCTGGAGCATCTCTCCAGGGAAAAAGCTGTGACCGGTCCAGAGAATATTTAGTGGGGTCCCCGCTCAGTTTCCCATGATGGATGGGAAGCTGCTGCTTACAGGCTGGATGTCAGGAGAACTTCAGTAATCCTCTGCTGAAAGCTTCTAAAACAGGGACTTGTTTCCAAGATGAGGCAGATAAAATCCTATGGGTTTGCCAGGCTTCTCAATAAAGAGGCTGCAGAAGTGTGCCTGGATGTGGAAATCGTACTTCAACCTGATTTCAGGGAACGGGTGACTGAGATTTTAGTTAAAATTTAAAACAGGCTATGACACATCAAATAGAAATAAATATATTCAGAAGCTTGAAGTTTGACTGAGCAGGAAGCAAGAAAAATAAGAGTATAATGACAAGGAATAGGTAAGCAGCCTCAGCTCTAATGAAACAGGGTGGAAATGATATATATAAAAATAAAGAGCTATAACAAACTTGCTGTGAATGCCTCACCTGTCACTTTCATCTCCTGATTTACATTTGAGTTTGGCTTTTCGGTGAAATGTTTTATATTCCCAGCTCAAGTAGATGAGCAATCTGCAACTCAGGCATGTCTTGTTTATTACAGCCATCCTGCATATTGCCTTCTTCTTTATAATTATACGGGAGAGGAAAAGTTTAAGATCTTTAAAAAAAAAAAATACCTTGACGAACTATTTTCTTTGGTTCCAGCTCAGACTAAGCAGATAAATGACTCTGAGGGGAGGATAAGCAGTTTAAATCCATTGAGAAGAGCTCTGTGTACAACTTCAAAATTGGCACATCTCCCCAGGATTGCCCATTTCAGACTGAGAAATTGGCTTCTCAGAGTGCACTTGATTTTCTTCATGGAGGTGAATGCCAGCAAGAAAAAACTATTTCATTGCAATTGGTTATTTTTAGGATTGTTTTCCTCCACAGCTCACAGTAGCTGAAACCTACTGGGATATTCAGGCTTATTTGGAGATAAACCACTCTGAGGTATTTCATAGAAAATATCATGGAAATTCTGATGGATGAAAAGGTAAATAAAACACTTGAAGAGTAAGTTCTATTGCCTCAATTCATAAATACCCTCAGAGTTTGTACTTGGCAGCTCAAGTCCTGCATGACCCAGACCCAACACTTCTACTCATGTGGGAAACAGACATAATAATAATAATAATAATAATAATAATAATAATAATAATAATAAAGCTCAATCCTACCTTAAAGCAATTCCCAAGCAGTTGATGACATTCCAATGAAATCCTGGCTTGGGACAAGGCTGCCCTGTCTGTGGAATACTCTTGGTGAGTGCATGTGCTCCGGGCTGGGAGTGACAGTTCCTGCCCTGCTCCTTGTCCCATTGCCAGAGCCCCAGGAACTGGTAATAGGAGGCTTGGGGTGGCTGCAGCCCCCTCTTGCTCTGGAAAAGAAGCAAAGATGATCCCAATTCCCATGGCCTGTGCAGGGCTCCCCGTGGAACAGCATTTTAGTTTTTTAGTCAATGGCTTTTCCTATTCCACTGAGGCACAGGATAACCCATGCACTTGCCTCTTCCTTATTTCTCAGACACTTACGAACTCAGGTCCTGCTTTTTCTGTCATCCCTCGGGGGCTGAATTGTGCCAGCAGGACTTTCCCACTTCTCAGCAGGCCAGAGATCATTTTTCAAGGTACCCAGGAAATTTCTGGAGTTCGCTCATGACACAGAGCACAGAGCTCAGGAGAAGGGAAGAACAAATATTTTTGCACGTACCACATGAAATTTTCTTTTTTTCCATGACAACACACTCCTACTGCCCCTGTCTCTGAAGGTTTCTTGTCTTTGTTCCAGCCTCAGAGGACTCTGTGAGGAGATTTCACACACACAAATCCACATCACAAACCCAGAGGTTGTGCAGGGAAGTGAAGTGAAACAGTGTTGGCAGCTCCAGGGGATTTCCTGCCCAACATAAAGACAATTGTACCACTTCAGAATAACCTTGAACTGTTACTGTAACATTAGAAAACTGACTTCCCATATCCAGATGTATAAGATTGTCCTGGTCAGCACATGAGACCTTAAACTGCCTTTTTGTCCATGGGGGCTGTGACTGGGATTCCAGCAGGGAATGAGGCTTCTGTGCTTGGAAACCCAATGTGGGACTGGGCAGATTTTCACCTGGGGAGACTCTCACCTTACTCCATTGCAGATTTTCTCTGGTATATTACATTAGAAAGGGAGGCCTTGCCCTTATCAAATTACCCCGTGGAAGCAGATTACTGTTATTTATCATCTTTTGATATTTAGGGATTGCATTATTTTTTCCCTTTTCTTAGATCACTTATGTTTCTGTCTTCTATGCCTCCCTCAGTTATCTGTCACTGCCTGTTTTAGCCGGCAAAGACCTTGTGAAAACACAAGGCACTGGCTTAATTTCTCCTTGCAGCTAATCCTCATCTCCCTCAGCTTCAGTATAATAAAAATCTGTGGAGCTTTTCCATTTCCTGACAGCTCTGCTGTTTGTACAGCAACTTTTCTGTGCCTACTACAGCCAAAATTTCATTAGTACAACTGGGATCAAGCTACACAAGACATGCAGACACAGCTCCAGTTTTGCCTTGAGGCTGTTTACAACTTCTTGTTTATCAGTTGTGAACAAAAGCCATTACAGAGATCATTACTGAAAAGATTGGAAGCTGCTGCTTCACAACACAAAGTCAAAAGAAAAAAAAAGAGAAAATGCAAAATATGTATCAAAAAATAATGATTAGATCAATCCTCCTGCTTTTAGTGTGCTAATGGATAATTCTGTTCTGGAATGAACGAGGAACTTCTCCCTCAGACAACCAGAGGCCCCTTGAAAACCCAGACTCCAGCAGGTAAGGATGGAAAGCCACATCTGTCTCACCTGTTGGGGACAGCACAGATCCCACTGGGCATGAGGACTGGGAATGTGGCAGGATCCAAAAGCACCTTTCCCAGGCTGAAGCATCTTCCTAAAGCAGCACCTCTGAGAAGCAGAGGACTGAAGAAGAAAAAGTGTGGTAATTTACAATAATAATAATAATAATATTGGTTAAGAGCAGCAAATTAAGTCTAGTTCTCTGGCACAAGGGATGCTGAGCTTTAAACAGGGTCTGAGGGAGGCAGCATCTCCTGGAATTTATAGATCACAGCTCCAGGTTTGGGATTACAGGAACAGCGCAAACTCCTATTGCCAAACATCTGTGTTTGCATTTTACCAGTGTTCCCCATCCTGAGCATGTTTGGGTGCAAGTGCACCAGTGCTGCTGCCTTGAGGGGGGTGAGGAAAGCTGGCATTAAAACCACTTCCCACAGCAGCTGACTCTGAGCTCTGGCTGGGGAAAGAGGTTGGCACATCACACATTTCAATGGAAACAATTTTGGTAATTTTGAAAACGTGTTGAATAAAAAACAATCAAGATAAGCCTTTCTCCACAAGGACAGCCCAAGGGATTATATAATTATTGCTTGTTCAAACATACAAGCAGCCGGTTTTTGGTGAGAGATTCCAGATTCTTGTCTCCCTACCGGGCTGTGCAGGCATTTAATGAGTATGTAAAACAGACCCTTTAAAACCCTGCACTGCTGCTGACTTCTAAACAGACACAAGAGACCAGAACATGGTGGTTTTTCGCTGCTCTGCTTGTTCCAAACCTCAGGCACAGCAGAATAAATTAATTTTTGCTGTGCCTGCCACCTGAAAGTAAAACATTTGCAGAAACTTTGATGTTCGTACAAGCCCATCAGGATTTGGACACTTGTGCCTTAATTCAATTTCCATTTATAATAAGAAATTTGAAGTGTCCTAAAGGCACCTACACTCCTATTTTAATTTCATGCCTTCTGCCACCGATTAATTTTGCTGTTCTTTTGCTTCCAAGTCAAGTTACCTGCTAGGAAATGACTCCAGGTCTCTTGTACCTGAGCATGTTTCAAACACAGCATGGTCCTTCATGATTGCAGACTGTGAGCTACACAGTTTCTGAGCAATAATAGTCTAATACCAACTGTACATAAAAAACAACTCATGTTCCATGAAACGGGATGGCGTTTGGATACATGCAGGCAGAACATTTCTGCCACTTCAGAAAGCTTTGATCCCTGGTTTTCAGTGATTAAATTAGTGATTATTTCAGTGATTGTTGCTCAGCAACCTCACCATTGTTAGATCACTCCAGCTGTTCAGTAAATGTATTTCTCAGGAATTCTGATTACTTTTTACCTCAAAATCAGCTGTGCAGGTTGTTGGTTTGTTCACTTGACGCAGCACAAGAGGTTGGTTTACGTGCTGTCTGGCTTTCTCCTCCTTTGGGAAAGGAAGGACTTAATTTATAGAGCCTGCAGAAGGAGAAAGGAGCCTCACTGCTCACTTTTGCAGGCCTGTGTGGTCAAACTCTACAAGCAGTATTTGTTGTTTTTTCCTATCTGGGGAGGCCCAGAACACGGACTGTTAAAATAAGCCACAGAGGGATGAGCACACGTGAGGTTTGCTTGTGTTTCAGAACACAGTGTACTCAAGGCAGATAATAACAGTAATAATAATAATAGATTCATAAAGATCAATTGCAAAAAATGGCTTTTTTTACAGGTATATTCTAAGGCACGTTAGAACACGAGTAAGAAAATGGACCCCAACGCTTCGTTCGACTGGCCCCACGCGCTGAATTACAACGGGACGTACAAGTACCTCTACTGGGAAGGCAACGTCTCCTACGTGGACTTCTACCTTCACCAGCCTTCAGTGGCCGCTGTCTTCATCATATCCTACCTCCTCATCTTCCTCCTCTGCATGGTGGGCAACGGGCTGGTTTGCTTCGTCGTCCTGCGGAGCAAACACATGCGGACGGTCACCAACCTGTTCATCCTGAACCTGGCTGTCAGTGACCTGCTGGTGGGCATCTTCTGCATGCCCACCACCCTCCTGGACAACATCATTGCAGGTGGGCTGGCTCTCACGAGGGGCAGGGAGAGCCGGGGGCGTGTTTCGGAGGGGGCTCTGTGGGCATTTCGAGTCACTGGGAGCAGGGGTGAGGAAGACAAGCCTCTAACCCGCCTTCTGACTGCTTGCTGACTTCCACGTCCCTCATCCTTAGGAAGGGATTCTCCCATTGCCAGGTGATATGTTTGGGAAGTCTTGGTGGATGCCATGAGTTAGATGCAGAGAACAATCCACTGTAGCAGTCAATTCCCTTTCCTGTCTTGATGTCTCATTTTATGGGGATGTTAAACCACAGATGTTTGCTTTGCTGGTTTTTGGAACATCAGAAAGTCACCCAAGGCAGCTGACAAAGCATCTGCTTCCACACTCTTTGCCTCCCTAACCCTTGCTCTCTTAGTTCCAGGGCAGAAAATTCCTCTTATGCATATAAGCCCAGAGAAATTGTGGCTGCCCCATCCCTGGAAGTCCTCAAGGCCAGGCTGGATGGCACTTGGAGCAAGATGGGATATTGAAAGGTGTCCCTGTCCATGGCAGAGGGGTTGGAAGGAGATGATCTTTAAGGTCCCTTCTAACCAAGACCATTCCAGGAGTCTACTCAGGAAATGGAAGACAAGAGCAAATAATTTTAAGTAGAGTCCTGCAGTGAGATGACAGCAATTCCAGCTGCCTGTTTCCTTCCAGGATGGCCTTTTGGCAGCCTGGTGTGCAAGATGAGTGGGATGGTCCAAGGGATCTCTGTTTCTGCCTCTGTGTTCACTCTGGTTGCTATTGCCGTGGACAGGTAAGATGCTGCAGAGTCTGTGACCATCACTCTCACCTCCCTCTGCCCTCTGACCACAATGAGCCTGTTCATTAACTCACCCAACACTGCAATAAATTAGATGTATTTTTCTGCTGAGGCTGTTAAGCCAAACAAGATGTGGCCAGGTCTAAAGAGCAGCCACAGCAATTTGCTCCTCCACTGGTATCTCTTCAAGATGGTGAAGCCAGGCTATCCTGTCTGGCCTGGATTTGGTTTGTCCCTCAGCTGTTAAGCTGGATAGCAGAGGTGTTAATAGCTGCCTTAGCTAAGTGGAGCATCACAAGCAGCTGCTGATAAAAGAGGATGAGATGACTCCATCTTTGTTTTTTAAAAAACAATTTAAAATGCGTGTGCATTTTAAATTGCATGGGGAAAATCTGGGTTATTTGAAATAACCTGTAGGGTAGAGAATGAACATATTAAGGTAAACTGAGGGAATCAGTGTTAGGTAGAGGAAAACTGGGGGCTAAATCTTAAAGCCGGGTGATGAAGCATTCCTCAAACGGCTTCTCCACACGTGTCCCCTGTGTCCTTGCCACCTTGCCAGGTTCCGGTGCATCGTGTACCCCTTCAAGCAGAAGCTGACCATCCCCACCGCCGTCACCATCGTCGCGGTCATCTGGATCCTGGCCGTGGCCATCATGTGTCCCTCGGCAGTCCTGCTGCAGGTGCAGGAGGAGAAGCACTTCAGGGTGATCCTGGGCCCCGGCAACGACACCCGCCCGGTGTACTGGTGCCGGGAGGACTGGCCTGACCCGGCGATGAGGAAGATCTACACGACGGTTCTCTTTGCCAACATCTACCTGGCTCCCCTGTCGCTCATCGTCATCATGTACACCCGGATCAGCGTCGCCCTCTCCCACACTGCCGGGGCTGGGGAGCGCGGCCAGGAGCAGCGGCACAGCACCTGGAAGAGGAAACAGAGAGCCATCCAAATGCTCCTCGTCGTGACTCTGCTTTTCACCCTGTCCTGGCTCCCCCTGTGGACTCTGATGCTGCTCTCGGACTACGCCAGCCTCTCCGATCTCCAGCTGCAGCTCATCAACATCTACATTTATCCCTTTGCTCACTGGCTGGCCTTCTTCAACAGCAGTGTCAACCCCATCATCTACGGGTTCTGTAACGAAAACTTCCGCCGGGGCTTCCAGGGTGTCTTCAAACTCCAGCTCTGCTCCAGGGAGGTCTATTCCCAGCCAGGCCAAAGCAAGGACCTCCTGCCAGCTGCCCAGTGCCAGGCGCCCCAGGATCAGTCTTTTCAAACAGCTAAGGAGGAGAGGAAGCCAGTTAAGAAAGGAAACTGGGTGAATAACCAGCAGGATTTGATCATGGAGGATCTGGAAGAGTCCTGCAATGATGGGATCAAGTGAAACATGCTAGGAACCACCCGAAAGGTTTAGGCCTGGCAGAGTTTATTCATTGTGTGTGAAACTCGTGCTTTGTGAGCCCTTTCTGACAGAAATGCTGAAGTGTTTCTTGTTTGAAGGAGACATCAAACTCACATCACATCTGAACATTTGATATCAGCAGGAAACCAAACTCATCCCTTTGTGTCACCAGCTTAAACCAGTGGACACTCCCCTCAGCCAGCCATGAGCTGCTGCTCTTGAACTGGGCTGAAACAAGGACAGGATTAAAATCTTCCATTTACTGGGACATAAGAGAAAAAGAGAACTGAGATTACTGACTCAGATACAATTACTGTGGATGCCCAAAGAAGAAAACATTCCTTCATTTTCTCTGTGAATCTCTCAGAGCAGCTGAAGCAGAGTTGCTTGAATGACATTTATGGAAATGTCTCAGCCTGTGAGTAAGCCCTTGTCCTGTAACTCTCATGGACTGAAATGTTGGAGATACAGCGTGAAATGTGAACTGGACTCAGCAGTCGCTGGGTCTTCTTGTGGCTGTGTCCACATTGCTTCTGGCTGAACATTCTAAACACCAACCGGTTCCTGCCCGAGTGACAAAAATGAGCATTTTCAGTCACATCCCATTTATTCCCCTGTCTCATTGTTATTTCTGTGATATTCATTAGTGTTGCAGTGAGAGAAATAAATAGGAGTGGAAATTCGGGAAATAAGGCATAAAAAAGTGGCTTTTGTGGTACATTTCTCTGAAGAACTCAATTTGATTTTGAGGGGGGATATAAGTAATCTAAAAAGACTAAAATTTCAGTATGAGAAGGAGAGAAAACACCTGTTCATTCTCTACCTTATAGGTTATTTCAAGTTTTACCCCCCCAAATTTTCCCTATCCATCCACCACTGTTCACCTCAGTTTCCCTCGAGACGTTCATTCTCTCCCCTGGAGATTACATCAGATTTTATCCCCCAAAATTTCTCTACCTGTGCACTACTGGTTACATCATTTTTACCTCCAAGTGTGCATTCTTTGACCTATAGATTACCTCAGATTTTATGCCCAGAAGGTCTATTTTTTTCCCCTTTATATTATCTGGATTTTAAAACTAAAAACCACTCAGACTATATCTTACTCCCAAAACATTTGTTCTATCCCCTACAGATTAGGACAAAATTTTCCTCCAAAATAGTTATTATTCCCTGCTTATCTCCTGTAGATTAAACTCAGATTTTACCTCCAAAATCGTCCAACCCTTGCCCTTTTTCACCGTTTTTATTCCAAGTTATTTCACACCTGAACAGAATGTCCACTTTTTTTAACTGTATTCTGTGCCTAATTTTAACAGAACCATTTAATTCCAGACCCTACATGTGAATTATTCAATTCTTTGCCATTGGACTTTGGACAAAGTAAGGGATACCAGGGATGCTGGACCACAGGAAATCATGCAGAGAAACACCTCAGAAACTGGACAGAGAAAGCTTTCAAGGCACCCCAGAAAACAGAAATGTGTTCATGCCTTGCCAGGCCACCCCAATTCTGTCACATCCACCTGAGCTGTGCAGGGGAGGCCAAGGCTCCCCTTCCTCCTGGGAAAACACTGTCTGAGCACATCCTGGGCTGCACCTATAAAGGGCATGGAAAAGGCAAAATTACAGTGGCGTTTTCTGTTAGAAAAATGTGTGCCTGTGATGAAAAATTTTGGACAAATTCGGTAGCATCACTTTCCTAGTGATGGCCACGCACATCTCTCCAGGCCGGGTGAGAACAGGAAGGGGAACTACAGGAAACGCAAGGAGACACAGTCTGGTATTCGCACTTATTCCATGAAGACTTCCTAGCATTTCCCTTTCTTTATATTAAGGTATTGCTGCTAAAAACACCTCAAGCCTGTGTTTTAGCAGCTGCAGCCAGGACAAGGTGGGATACACATGGAGAGCTGGACAGGTAACAGCCAGGATGGTACATGAACTTGGCAAATGCAGCATAATACAAGGTGAGGTGTGAGGGGAGAGATGCTCAGGGATTCTTTTTCTTGTTTAGATTCCTCGGTTATATGAACTTTGAAAACACCTAGTGCTGAAAGGATCCAGGGTGTGAGCACTGCGTTCTTCAGGTTAATTGTTTTTCTTTGCTTATGGACCTTAAAAACAGCCTGTGTCAAGAGCAGCAGAGAACTGCTCCAGTGTAAGAGGCAATTCATCACAATCCAGTGATGCATCAGTTCGAGGGGAAGTGTTTAGAGTAACTGACTAACATTTGTAACACAAAAATCACATACAATAAACACTAAAAGGGACTTTATTGAGCTGAAACACAAACATGTTCACAGCAGGCAATGCAAAGAGGTGAACACACAACCAACAAAACAGCACCTGAGCATTGGGGAATACAATTCTGGCAACATCCTGGTGCCCCTGTGGAGTCCCTCAGGGGAAAGAAGGGTGGCAATGGCTCAGCAGAGGTTTCCAGCCCCCAGTGCAGATAGTCCTTGGACCTTTGGATTTCCTTTCTTCCAAGCTCATTGCTCTGTCTGTCAGGTGTCCACTCCTGATGCTTTGTGTTTATCAAGGAGCACATGAGAATAAAACCTTCAACATCCCAAGTCTTTCCCTGCTTTGACTCAGATGGCAGTGCCTGGTTTTGGCATTTTGAAGTTTCCTCTTTTGTAGCCATTTCCATCTCAGGTAGGACCTTCCCCATCTGAAAAAAAAAGAGGAAATATTTCAAGTGGACTTCCACAAACATGGGGTTTGCCATTGGAGAGTGTGAGTTCCAGAGCAGTTGGGGGAGAGGAAGGAGAGGGTCAGATCTCACCTGGCAGGTGCTGTCAGACAAGCTGCACTTTATTGATTGGAGGGTAAAAAGTCACTGTGAAATCCCATGAGTTCTGAGGGCATGGAGGGAAGGGAGAGCTGAAGGCAGAGCTGGGACCAGCCTGTGCCTGACCCGCGGCACAGTCAGTGCCAGTTCCTGGGCAAGGGGTGCTCACGGCGCTGCCCGATGGACACAGGGACACAGGGACAGACGGGCAGCTGCTCGGGTCATGTGCCCCCAGGTGACCCCATGACCCCCCAGACAAGAAGCCAGATGTGATGTACGTGGTGACCCCGTAGTAGCTCTAGGGTGTCCCAGGTGACTGCAGGTGGTCCCAGGTGCCCCCCGCTGACCCCTGTGCCCCCCCCAGACCAGAAGATGGACACGATGCACATGGTGACACCCCTGTGCCCCTCGGTGAGCCAAGCGAAGGCTCCCCCTGGCGAATAAAATCCGGGAACTGCGGTCCCGGCGCGCCCCGAGGGCTGTTCCTGCAGTGCCGGGCGGGTTTCGCCAGACGGCGCCACCGAGCCCGTTGGTGCCGCAGCCCCGCCCCGCTCCCCCCGCCCCGCAGGTGCCGCGCAGGGACCGCCCCGGCCCGGCCCCGCCCGGCCCCGCCCGCAGCCCTTTTACCGAGCGCCGGCGGGGCGGGGGGAGGCTTTGGGGTGTGCGGGCCGGGGAGTGCCGTGTCCGTGTCCGTGTCCGTGTCCGTGTCCGTGTCCGTGTCCGTGTCCGTGTCCGTGTCCGTGTCCGTGTCCGTGTCCGAGTTGCCCCGCCGTGATCCCGGGTGTCCGTGCCCGGCAGGGCCGTGTGTGCGCAGAGACCTTCGGGCACCCGCGGCACGGAGGGTGCGGAGCTCGGCCCGGGGTCGGCCCGGGCTGTCCCGGCTGCGGCTCCGGCCGGGGGGGCTCGAGCGGCCGCCCCCGGGCCGTGCCGGGAGCTCGGCTGTGCCCGGGCCGGGGCCTCTCCCGGAGGGATGTGCGGCACGGCGGGGAAAGCGCCTGGAGCTTTGTGTTGTGTACGCGAGTGTTTTCCCCCTGTCTTTGCACAGGTTCAGCTCTGCGGGAACTGCCCGGGGGGCTGCCGGCCAGAGCCGCCCGAGGATGGGGCTCCCCCCGAGCACGGGGCAAGCGCAGCCACCGCTGGGACCGGGTCAGCCTGCGGGAAGGTTTCCTGATTGCTCCCGTCCCCAGAGCAGCTGTGCCTCGTTCCCAGAGGTCCCGCCTGGGCAAGCCCGGCTCAGCACAGCGCCAGGAGAGGCTGCACGGGAGGACGAGCCCGGCCAGGGGCAGGACACAGCCCAGCCCCGGGAGAGGTGACACGGCGGGGGATGTGCGGGGAGTGCTCTGACACGGGCTGGGCTGGGGGGTCTGTGCTGGGGGTGTGCGGCAGGGTTGGGCCCCTCGTGGCTTTGCGGAGGGGAGAGCGCCTTGTCCGCTGGGTTTATGGACCGGGGGAGCCGGGGGGCGTTTAGGGGCGCGTTGTGCTGGGCAGCGGGGGCCGGGTAAGCCCCTTCCCTGCCGGGTGACCCCGGGGGGAGCCGTGGCAGGGCTGCGGGGCTGGTGCTCTCTGGGTGTCTCAGGGTTTGTCCCGGAATCCCAAAGCCTTTCCCCGTGCAGGGTTACAAGGCAAAGACTGATCTCCCTTAGTTTCTTGGTGCTGCATTAATGCTTTTTACTCGTTCTGTGTCAGTTTGCAGCCTGGCTCGTGGTTTCCCCTGGTGCTGGGGAGTGGAGGCGAGTTGTGCTTCCTGCTGGGAGAGAGAAGGGCCTTGGGAAGCTGCTCCATGAGCCACAGCTGTGCCGAGCCTGGGAGTCTGTCCAGGTAAGAGCAGGGCTTATACTGCCAGTGAGGAGCTGGGTTCTGCTGTTGGAAGATAAAATATGCCCATGCCTTTAAATGCAAGGACAGGCAGAAGCTGGGAGGGACCCTGAGCAGGTTTGGTGGCACGACAGCAGTTTGAAAAGACCTTGAGTGTGGGAGAAGTGTCCAGGAGAAATGATTGCTTTTTTGCATGGAGGCAGTCTGCAAGGACAGGGGGGTTGCTGTGCTCTCTAGCAAAAATACTGCCCTTGGGATGTGCAGGGTGAGGAAATGTTGGCCACGTGTGGGCTGGAGCAAAGGTGTGTGGGTGGCTGTGTGTGACAGCCGTGGGTGTGCAGGAAGGGGGTTCTGGTGCCATTGGAGCTGCCAGGGAGCCAAAAGGGGCACAGTTGTCTGAAAAAGGTGCAAGCTCTGTTGGCCTCTGTTGACACCTACACCAAATGAGATGCAAATTTTCCCCCTCTTGGTTGCAGAATTCACAAAGCTCCCAGGAAAGGAAGTTTTTAAGATTCCAACTCACCTTTATGCTAAAGGTTTCCTTGCTCTCTCAGCAGGATGTCAAGTGCCACCGTGTCCCTGAGGTTCCCCCTTTCTCCTGTAGGGAGAGCACGAGGTGGATGGAGAGGATCCCCAGGCATCTGCAGACACAAGGGACTCGTAGAACTGCGATTTTCCTACAGCCCTCGTGAGAGGGACTTTGAGGGTACCATGGGTAACGTGCCAGCTCTCCTGCTGGAGTGTTTGTCTTTTGAAATATTTGAACAAAAAGAGTAAAACTAAAGTCAGATCTGTTCTGGAGTGTGTTACACTTGTGCAAAGCTCCTTCCCTCTGTTCATTTTCTCTTCTGGAAAGCACAGTCTGGACTTCCTGGGCACTTCCTATTAAGTGATACCATGAAAATAATGTTGTACTGAAAGGGGAAAGGAGCTGTCTGTTGGAGGTCAGATGTCCCTGATAAAAACTTTGTTTTTTCACTCAGTAAGCTCTTAAAATATCTTACAGTGTGTAGGAATGCCTGGCTTCTAAAACTCACCAACTGAGCGTTAGAGGTTTCTTTGAAGAGCTGAGTTCAGGCAGCAGAATTGTCCCCCCAGGAGGGACTCTGTGCCTGCTCTCCCGTGGCTCCAAGGGATCTCTGGGCCTTCACGCCGGCACCGAGATTTTCTCGGGAAGGGCCTCAGATCCCCGGACCAGTCTGGGACACAGGCAAGATCCCCCTGCATTTAGGAACCTAATTAGGCCCCCCTGGAGGGACAGTGCTGTTGGTGCCCCCCGGGTTGGGGCACCCCGAGGACTCCAGCGCGCACCGAAAGGATTATTCGGGGAGATCCTCGGGGTGCCCGGCCCTGGGGAGCTCAAAGCAAGGTCCCTGCAATGGATTCAGGCATTGCTGAGAGTATCCCAGGGGTCCCTGTCCCTGCTAGACATGGAGCTCTCTAATGGACTGTAATTGGGTTATAAAAGTGGTCCTCCAAGTGCCAAAGAAATGTGGGATTGGGATTAAGAAATGAGCAGTGATGGTCCAATTGGCTTTTTTCTCTGGAATGTAATGGTAAGAGCTGCAGGAGTGCCAGGTGTGTGTTCCAGTCCCCAGCATTTGGTTTGCACGTGTCCTGGTCAGACACAGGTCCAACTTCCTCAGTCCTTAACAGGAGAGCAGAATTAAGGAGAACTAAAGACTGGCACTGTTAAGGTATTTAGTGTGACAGGGGTGAAACTGGGAAAACATTGGGGAATTCCTGAGTTTTTGTCTCTTTGCCAAACTCACCCAAACCTGTGCTAGGAAGAGATGGACTGGAAAAGTTGAGGCAGAAATGAAATGGAAAAGTGGGGATATTGAAACTGTAATTGCTGAAACCAAATGTGTCAAAGCAGCAGCTCTTGTTGTGCAGGGAATAACTCCTGTCAGCAGCAAGGTCCTGACTGAAGTGGCAGCTGCAGTTGTTCCTGTGGTGTGGGCCAGTGGAATTGCAGGAGAGTGGAAGAGGGCAGAACCTGTAGGTATTACCCCTAATGTGGGATCTCTCCTGGTAAGGCCAACCCAGTATCCTTTAAAATCAGAATGCCAGCTTGGATTGGTTGCAGTAACAGCTAAATTGGCTCCTCCTGGTTTGCTTGTAGGACATAAATGCAAGAACCTGCCAAGAAAACCAATGGCCAAGATGATTGATGAGTGCAGGACCTGAGAGAAGCACCTTGAATGACAACCTCGAGGAGTTTCCAGTATTGGATTGAAAAGATGGCCTTTGCTGCATCTGCTTGAGCAAGGAAAGCCAAGAAACCTTTGCTTTGGAAGGAGAAAATCTGGAAAGCAGGAAGGAAGCAAAGAAGCCCCCTGACTCCTCCCTGAGCCCCAGCCAGCCCATGAACTGCCTTGCTGGGAATGGTAGGACGGGCTGGACTCTGGATTGCTCCCTCTGGATGTGTGGTAAGACTGTTATGCCAACTTTTCCAACAGCCTGTAAGCATTTGCTGCCTTGGCTAGATGGTGCAAGGGCAGCCTTTAAGCAGCTGAAGCCTTCCCTGAGGAGAGCTCTGGGTCTGCCAGACCTCTCAGAAGTGTTGGAAGCATCTTTGGTGGGGAGGGCAAACAAAGGCCAAGGTGTGCAGTGACCCCCCTGAGAAGGGACTTTGAGTTAATGGCATCCCTGATGGTGAACTTTGTGGGCTGTTCCCCCTGTAGGGCAGGTGATAGTCCCAGCTACAGTGATGGGAAAAATAATTAAAAGGGAGCCCCAAAAGCTGGAAATCCTCCTGGAGGCTCTTGGCAAAGAGAGTTTCCTGCATTCCCCCTGCAAGAAGGACAGTGACAGCTTTTGAGTGCTGGTAGATCCTTTGAATAGATAGCCTTGAGTGTGTCCTTGTTGCCCCAGTAGGCCTTGTCCAACTCCCCATCTTCCAGGGGATATACCTATTGAAGTTTCAAATGATCCTTTTCCTAATCCTTTGTTGTCTTGAGGCTCTCCCCTCAGGAACTGCAGGAACTCCTGGTGCCGCCTGGGCCGATGGATTGGACGCCCCAGCCCCTCCGTTCCTGCCCAGCCCCTGGGTTCGTGTCCAGTGGTGGCACTGCCAGCCCTGCAGGTGAAGTGGGAAGGGCCTTTCCAGGTCTTGTGGGTCACATTTATGGCAGCTGAAGTTGCAGAAAAAGGATGTTGGGTCTCTTCTTCTTGAGTTCAGAAATCTCCTTTTGGTTGGTGAGCAGAACAAAGTGGATCCTTCAGAGTTCCCATCCGTGTTTGTGTCTCAGCCTGTGTTAGGATTCAGGGCTGTAGCTGTTGTTGTCACTGAGGAGTCAAACTCTGCTTTAAATAAGGAGACACTGGCCTAATGGGTCAGGAAAAAAGGGAGAATGATATCTGAGTGTTGAGATGTAACAAGAGCTGATCCTTTTTGCAGTGGGATGTAGCCTGGAAAGTGCACAGAGCTGACCAAGGGATTGAAAGGGACCAAGCAGTGGAGGTGAAGAAAGAAGGAAGAAGGGAAGTGAGGCAGCAGCCAAGCAGCACCAAGTTGCTGTGTAAGCAGGTGAGTTGTGTTGAGGTTCCTAAGGCAGGCACTGAGGACTTTGAGGGCTCCAGACAGAGCAGAGCTGGGAAGGCCCTCGATGAAGCCCTTTGGAAACCTTCTAAGGGTAGGTGTGATTGGTGATAAGTGTAGGAGAATGTCCTGAATGTGGAACAGGAATGCAGGGAAGGAAAATAAATCCTCCTGTAATGCTGCCATATCAGCTGCAGTGGAGATAGCTCTGTGTGCCCTTTGGGAGCTGATTGCCAGGACACCTGGTGGGCTGGAATGATTCAAGAGCATAGGAATAAAAGATTGCCTGGCTTCTAAAACTCACCACTTGAGTCTCAGAGGTTCTTGTAAGAAATTTTAGGTAACACCTGAACTTCTAGTGAGTACTCTTGAGTTGAATTGTAAAGAGATTGTCCAGGGAACAGGAATGTTTCTCATTCCAGGAAGTTGCCCTTGATGAACTTCCCATCTGAGCTGATGCCCTTGGCAGGAGAAGTGCTCAGCAAGGAGGCTCTTTGCTCCTAGGCAGGAAGAAAGGCCAGTGCCCTTCCTCCCCAAGGCCCAGCCCAGCAGGGCTGGCAGGAGCTGCTGGTGTGGCTGCTCTTTGGGTTCTCAGCTGTGCCCGTGGGGTGGTGACATCGTGTTCTTGCCTGTGCTCCAGGGCAGCCCAAAGCCCCAGCCCAGCCCCTGGGCCTTTCTGGGAGCCTGAGCTATTGCAGCACTGGGGAGGGGGGTTTGGGTTTTTTTTCCCTAAAAGTAGAACTATAGGGGGGATCTCTTATCTCACAGTTGTTGTTGTTTTGATATCTTAATTAATTATAACTTTAGAAGAAAACCTTTTGTAACTTAGCAACTGACTTGCACAGGTTCCACTGAAAGTGCCAAGGAGTTGTAGTGTCCACTGGATTGTTTGTATTGAAGCAGTTTGGTGTTTACAGAGGGATAATAACTCCTGTCAGCAGCAAGGTCCTGACTGAAGTGGCAGCTGCAGTTGTTCCTGTGGTGTGGGCCAGTGGAATTCCAAGAAAATGGACAGGGACAGAAGCTGTAAGAATTACCCCTAAGCCAGAGTCTCTCCTGGTAAGGCAAACCCAGTATCCTTTAAAATTAGGAAGCCAAGCTGGATTGGTTGCAGTAACAGCTAAATTTGCTAATCATGGTTTGATAGTAGAATGTGAATGCAAGGAGCTGTAAAGAAAGGAAATGGGAAAGATGATGGATTGCTGGGAGCAGGGGCTGGCAGACAGTGGCACTGGATGTTTGGTTGTGGTTGGGAATGAGCAGCTTGACCTGCCCAGGGTTGTCTGTGCTGGGGGTGGGTTTGGGTCCTGTGTGGCCACAGGTCTGTGCAGCAGCTGGAGCCTGGGCAGGTCTGGGGGCTGTGGTGTGCCAGGCTGCTGAGCGTGTTGTCCCTGTTTCCTTGGAGTGTCCCAGTGTCCCTGCTTGGCTGTTTGTTGCCCTGCAGGCAGAAGAGCCCAGGCCTGAGATGGCTGAGTGTTGGTGTGAGCCACAGTGGGTGTCCCTGCCCTCGGGACAGTCCCCAGAGCTGCCTTTGGCATCCCCTGCTGAAGGGTGGGAGCTGCCCAGAGCCAGCAGCATCCAGCTGGAGGATCCAGGAGGATGCAGCTGTGTTTTCCTGGGAGGTAAGAGGTGGGGGTGCAGGAGCTGGCAGGAGTGTTTTGCAGGCAGAGGGAGGGCAGGAGCAGGAGACTTGCAGGTGCAGCAGCTGTGTCAGTGCTGGATGGAGTCGGGGCTGGGAAAGGGCCCTGAGTGTCAGGGCAGGGGAGAGCCCCGGGTGGCCCTGGGAGCCCTGGGGCTGTGAACAAGTGCAGTGGGCAAAGGAATGGGCACTGGAGAGCTGGGCAAACAGCTGGAGGAGTTGCAAGGAGAACCAGGAGACTGGAATGCAGGAGCAGCAGTTCCCGGTGTGTGTGTGTAGAACCAGGTGTACTGCAGCCCCAGAGAGGTGGGAAATGAACCTCAGGAGGCTGGGAACGAGTCCCACACACTGGTTAAAGTGGGCTGGACTCTTCCCAAGTGTCTGAAAAGCTTTTCTTTAGTGTTGCTTTATCAATTGAAAAGTGAAGTGATTGTCAAGGTGTTGGCAGTTGTTTTCCTGTGTCTTTGGTAAGGTGTTGACTCAGTACCTTTCTTGGAGCTGCTGTTGGATGAAGAGGTGCCCCCAATTGACCTGTAAGGTCCTGGTTTTCTTCCCTGCTTCTCCCAGTTTGTCCAGGAGATGGAATTCCAGTGCTACAGTCTGGGTGGGTCGTGGTGCTCCCAAAAGGAGCCTTTGTGCCTTCAGGGCAGGTTCTGGTGCCCCTGGAGCTGTTGGGAGAAGCAGAGGGTTGGCAGTGAGAGGCCTGGAATGATGATGTTGTGGCACAGAAGAAATGAGCAGTGATGGTACAATTGGCTATTTTCTCTTAAATACAATTTTAAGAGCTGCAGGAGTGCCAGGTGTGTGTTCCAGTCCCCACCGTTTGGTTTGCACGTGTCCTGGTCAGACACAGGTCCAACTTCCTCGGTCCTTAACAGGAGAGCAGAATTAAGGAGAACTAAAGACTGGCACTGTTAAGGTGATTGGTGTAACAGGGGTTAAACAGGGAAAACATTGGGGAATTCCTGAGTTTGTGTATTGCCCAAACTCACCCAAACCTGTGCTAGGAAGAGATGGACTGGAAAAGTTGAGGCAGAAATGAAATGGAAAAGTGGGGATATTGAAACTGTAATTGCTGAAACCAAATGTGTCAAAGCAGCAGCTCTTGTTGTGCAGGGAATAACTCCTGTCAGCAGCAAGGTCCTGACTGAAGTGGCAGCTGCAGTTGTTCCTGTCATGTGGGCCAGTGGACTTCCAGGAGAGTGGAAGAGGGCAGAACCTGTAGGTATTACCCCTAATGTGGGATCTCTCCTGGTAAGGCAAACCCAGTATCCTTTAAAATCAGAATGCCAGCTTGGATTGGTTGCAGTAACAGCTAAATTTGCTCATCCTGGTTTGCTTGTAGGAGGTGAATGCAAGAACCTGCCAGGAAAACCAATGGCCAAGGTGATTGATGAGTGCAGGACCTGAGAGAAGCACCTTGAATGACAACCTCGAGGAGTTTCCAGTATTGGATTGAAAAGATGGCCTTTGCTGCATCTCCTTGAGCAAGGAAAGCCAAAAAAACTTTGCTTTGGCAGGAGAAAATCAGGAAAGCAGAAAGGAATAAAAGCAGCCCCCTGACTCCTCCCTGAGCCCCAGACAGCCCATGAACTGCCTTCCTGGGAATGGTAGGTCGGGGTGGACTCTGGATTGCTCCCTCTGGATGTGTGGTAAGACTGTTCTGCCAACTTTTCCAACAGCCTGTAAGCATTTTCTGCCTTGTCTAGATGGTGCAAGGGCAGCCTTTAAGCAGCTG